ATCGTCGGAGGACTCGATGTCGGCGTAGTCAGCTTCGGTCCACGGTACCCTAAGCCTGCAACATGTCGCACGCTGGTACCAAGCTTGGTACCGCCTGAACTCACGGTTCGTGTGCGACTCGTTGTTGTAGCCCATGTTCTCGTGCATCTCCTCCCATTCCTGAATGAAGGACTGGTGGTGCCTCTCCCAGTCAAAAATCTTCTTGTTCCTCTGACGATCCAGCCTACACGTATGTCATCATTACTTGAATCCATGTACGTGTCACCATATTAATAGAAATGGACCATCATCATGAGACATTTGAAATATCAAAACACTTACTTGTGTAAGTCAACGCCAGTCGAGAACAGAGCCGTAGGCCAAAGCTGTCTCACTCCAAATTGGCGTGCAACCCTATCTGCCAGGTGGAACTCAACAACATAGAAGCAGATTAGAGGGCACCTCATCCTATAGAAGTCGTCGTTGGCCCCACAAACGTTGCTCAGCTAAAAAGGAAGTGCATCCTCTCCACCATACGGCTCCCACTCCACCTGTAACATGTCCAAATAAGATGTTAGATGGTATACGAATCCTTTTCAAAGCAGCATGGAAAATAAAATTTACTTACACTAGACGCCGTCAGTGTGTCTAGCTCGTTCGTGAACTCAATGTACGCCCGGTCTAACCTCGTGTGCGGAACCCTGACCTAGTCCCAAAGGTACGCCCATGTTGGCTGGCGACTTGGAGGCTGACCTTGGAACCACTCACGACGATCCAGAACCTCTGGACGGCCAACTGGAAAACGAGCCCACATCCACAGCTGTAACAGGTACACGCATCCACCAAGTGACGGGCTGGACGAAGACCGACAACACCCCTCGCACAACTGCCGATATAGAAAACACAAGACTACAGAGCCCCAGCTGTACTGACCCGCCTGGTCCCAGTCATTGAGGCAGTGGATCCACATCCAGGACACACTGTCACCCGTGGCGTCGGGAAAGAGAACGCAGGCAAAAAGGTGTAGGATCCATGCCCGGCAGTAGTACCCAACTGTCTCCTCATCTGCCTCCTCGGGGCACTGTGCGAACTCTTCATGTAGCCAGGAGATGGGAACTCCAGAAGTGTGAGCCCCTTGCTCGCCAAGCTCACGCCCAAGGAAGGCCTCCACTCGTGCTCTCCAGCCCTCTGACCTGCACTGCCCGGTGACTGGGTTGCCATGAATCCTTAGGCCTAACATCTTCTGACAGTCCTGGAGCGAGACTGTCATCTCCCCGAAAGGTAGGTGGAAGCTGTGAGTCTCCGGCCGCCACCTATATTTAAGACAAAGCAAGATTACATGTCAAAAAGTCAATCGCATGAACAAATGGCCATGAATGGAGACAATGATTCACTTTAATACATGTCTACCAACGCAGTTATGGCCGCTGAGTTGAACTTGGGCAACCCACGACAAACCTGAAAAGAGATGACATCTAGGCCAGCTCTTTACAGGAAAGGAGTGTACCTGTCGTCGTACCGCATGTCCAAGAACCCACTGTGGATTCTAGGACGAAGGATCGGAAGGTCCTGCATCGAATAAAACATAGTCTCCTATTACTTCAAGAACACATGTACGCTCACCAAATTTTGAACAAAACTTATAGATTATTACCTGCCCCAGCGCTATGAGACGTCCTCGGTGGGTCGCCTCGTACGTCGGGTCGAGCAGGTGGAATTGCTCCATCCTACAAAAAAGTGAATGAATTAGAATTCCAATATACAATGAAGCATGAACTTAGAAATGTATAAGTAATTGACACAAATACAAGCATAAATTGAGACATGCATATTTAAATATATGAATACGACAAATATAAAATAATAAAATAAACCAATAGTCCTACCTCACTAATCTACCAACGGCAACTTTGTGAATTGTGGCCAAGCCTACCGCACTCGTACTGCTCGGGATCAGTAACAAATGGAGTTCCTCTCCCACGCCTAATTCTTCCGGGTATCTGATCCATAACCATCCTGTGCCTCGTCCTCTGCCTTGATCCACGCTTGTTCCAATGGTAAGCTGGATCCGCAATGTACTTCGGCCCATCATATGGAGGCCACTCTCCAGGGTCCCGGAAAGGCACGAAGTGAGGGCACCATGTGTGCATAAGCGTGTCGACACTAAACTCGTGAGGTATCCTCCTCTCGATATTATAGTTGCGATGCCTAGCTGCTGCCACCAAATGAGAACATATAAAGTGGTACTGCCTTGGTTTACCACAAGTGCACTTGAAATCTTGGAGGACGACCACATGTATCCTCGACTCTCGGACCTTGCCGTCGGACGTTGTACCGCCCCTATGCTCGACCTGATAAGTCCCTGTGGCGTGGTCAAAGCATGCAACCTCATGTGTGCCAGCCCTTTCTCTTGCCTTCTCTAGGTGTGCCTTTGGTTTCGGAGCCCATATCTCTCCATCACTCCGCAACTGCAATGCATGGGCGTGTCTATCGTTGAACCAGGCTACAAGCTTATATAAGGTGAATTAAACGATTGCATTCACGGGCATACCACGTATCCCCAATAGCAACTTATTGAATGACTCTGCCATGTTGCTGCATTGAAACTCGTACCTCTAGCCACCGACGTCGTGAGCTCTCGTCCATTTCTCCAAATCCCTCATCAAACATGTGAGCCACTGTCTACCTTCTGCATTTGATGCGGTTCTGACCTGCTCTAACTTTTCCTTAAAGTACTTGTCCTCAAGCTGTCGAGCAGCCTCCTAGAACAGATCAAAGTTACCATTTACACCATCCTTCCGGAGTAGATTCTCGACAAGGTGCCGAGTACACCAACAATGGTGCAAAGGTGCATACCCCTCTATCTGCTCTTGCACGGCATTAAGTATGCCCTGATGCCTATTAGATATGACGCCAACCTCCCTGCCAGGCCCAACCACGTGTATCCGGACTAGCCTCAAGAACCATCCCCAACTGTCATTGTTCTCCTTCTCAACCAAGACAAATGCCAAAGGAACTAACTTGTTGTTCGCGTCACAGGATATGGCTATAAGAAGTGTGTCCTGGTATTTGCCAATCAAGAACGTACCATCAATGGAGAAGACGGGACGACAGTGCCTAAAGGCCTCGACACACTGAGGGAAGCACTAGAAGACACGGAAGAATATCTGCCTCCCATCCTCCCATGCATTAGGTTTTGGGATGTACTCATAATGCATGCTGGATTCACCTCTTTGATTGCATTGAAAAGAACTGGCAGCTGCTCATACCCATCCTCCCAGTCCCCATATATCATCTTTCACGCTCGCTGCTTAGCCCTCCATGCTTTACCATAAGTTATCACATATCCTCCATACAACGCCTCAACGGTCCTGATAATTGTCCTCACCTTCATGTTGGGTTCTCCCTACAAAATTCCCATCAACCGCTTGGCAATGAGGGTAGATGTCAACTGCCGATGCCTCAGTGTCAGCTCATGGTCAGCACAATTGTGTGGCCCAACAACTTTTGTGGTCTTCTATTTTCCGGTTACCTATTGCTTCCTTGCACAAACCCTCCATGGACAGCGTTCCTTGTCACACACAACTGTGTAACGGCGCTCCGCATATGAATGCAATACCCTGTAAGGCCTCTTTCGTATCACTGCATAAGCCTGCAACCACCTCTTCAAAGCAGGGAGGTCATTGAACACCCTCCCATTCTCAATTACCATGTTAGGACCGGCCTCAGGAGCTTCTAGGAGCTCATCATCACGTCCTTCTACAAACGTCTGATCGGAATGAGCAAGATCGTTGAACTCATGAACTCGAGGATCACGGCGGCCAGGAAAGATACGCCTCATCATCTCAACATCACTCTCCGTCAGCTCTCCAACAGGGCGATCATCATCAGAATCAAGAGCCCTAGCCATCTCATGTGGCTCCGAATCATACATAATTTCAACACTATTGGAGCCATGGAATATTGATCATCAAGAGTCCTGATAATGCGTGTTAATTGCTTATTATGATCATCATTGAATATTGATTTGCGTATAATGAATTGAGTTGACAAGGAGCGATGCTACCAAGAGGGTGGTTGGATTCGGTGACTAAAATTTAGGAGGTATGTCGGGAGGATGTTGCATGGGGTATTCGGATACTAATAAAAAACAAATTACATAATCCGTCAGTACTCCACGAGACAAATTTTTTAAGCCTAATCAATCCGTCATTAGTGCATGTACGGTAGCAAAACATTGTCAAATCATGGACTAATTAGGCTTAAAAGATTCGTCTCGCAAATTAGTCGTAAACTATGCAATTAGTTTCGTAATTAGTCTATATTTAATACTCAATGCATATGTCCAAATATTCGATGAGACAACGACTAAAATTTAGAAGGGGCAACCAAACACCCCCTAAATTCGTGCATTCAAACACCATTGCCACAAGCTGTCTTCAAACTTTGAGACAGTTGTTTTCTGATGGGCAAGTCATCTCTTTTTCCAGTTTCCAGTAAGTATGTCATATTTTATGAAAAAAATTCGCGCGGTTAATTTCCCAAGAAATTTTATCAAGTATTTTTGCAGATTGCACTGCTCAAAACTCTAGCTTCCTGGGTGTGGCGGGAACATCGTGGCTGTGTGTTTAACTGTTTATCCACGACAAGAATATTCCCAGTCAAACTTACAAGATTTAAACATGACCAAGTAATCCCTTCCAGATTCTTCGACTAATTAAAAAATCTGGAAGGGATGGGCACAAGAGGTACAATGTAGAATTCACTGATGATGAGATTTTCTTCTTACAAACAGAGAAAATCATCTGATTTTACACTCAGTTAATAAACACCCTTGCTATCAATTGCAAACCGTCAAACTTTACACATCCACTAAAAAAACACTCAAATTCTTGCCAACTCTCATGTCAGATGAACTAACCAAGACAATACCCTCAAGATTCAGAAAGGGTTTGTTTCTACCAAACATTCTGTGATCAGCAGATTAAGTTTAAATTCCGCTACAATTTCAAGATGGACCTTTATCTGATGGGCGCTGGCGAAACATCACCTGCGTCAGAATCAGGCTGACAAAGAACATACGGCCTGACGAAAGTCCTTCTCCACCACACCTCAAACGCCCTCTGCAAATTCGGGCAATCGTCGCCGAGCTTCAAGAACCTCCCGAACCACGCAAGCAGGATCGACCTCTGGTCCTCCAGCGGCAGCGTGAGGATCGTCTGCCCGATGCCGTCCTCGACGAGCCTCCTGTCGAACGACGCCGACGACGGCCGGGAGCCGCCGCAGCGCTGCAGCCACGCGTAGTCGTCGATGAGCGGGTGCAGCCAGACCTGGAGGAGGCGGAGGCGGGCGTCCCTGGGCGGGAGCAGCTCCCCTCTCCCGACGCCGACGAACAGCCGCGCCGTGACGCGGCTCACGGCGTGGCGGGAGGGCGCCGGCACCCTGGCGTGCGACGCGGCCAGCTCCGCCTGCCCCGACCACAGCGCCACGAAGCCGTCGCCGGCGCGCTGGCTCGCCAGCATCAGCATCTCCACCAGCCACAGGAGGTTGTCGGTCTCCAGCGCGATCCGCCGCGTGACGACGGCGGGGCAGTAGTAGTCCGGTTCGGACGACGACGCTTCGGCGAACAGCTCCTGGAGCCGGTCCAGGCAGCCCCGGCACGAACCGCACAGCGTTTCGGCAGAGGAGATGTCGTCTGGTGGTGATCCGTCGCCGCCGGTGACGCCGACGCCATGGCTGCGGGTGCTATCTTTGAGGAGGTTCAGGACCAGGGCCTTCATCTCGCGACGGCCTCGGTCGTCGGTGCTCGTCAGCACCATCTCCGTGATGCTCGCGAACGTGTCGCTGGGCGGTCTCAGACAGTCGTCGGAGGCGATCCTCTTCAGCAGCGGGGTGACGACTCCGCCGTAGTAGTTGCAGCCGTCGTCCTTGTCCCTGCTCTGGAGACGGCGGACCGAGGACACGACGCTGCGTTCCTCCTCGTCGCCGTCCCACGGGACGGCCTCCAGGTAGTGGAGGCAGGACGTGACGCAGGCGTGGAAGCCGAGCGCGTCAGCGGCCTTCATGATGCGGAGCACGCGCGGGACGCTCTGCTTGAGCAGCAGCCGGTGCTTGGCCTCGTCGCAGTACATTAGGCCTACCGTCTCCACGTAGATCTCCGCGTCGTCGCAGTCGTGGATCTCCACGCAGGGCGGCGGAGCGGGGGCGGGGTTGCCGGCGGCGGCGAGGCGCTGGGCGAAGAAGGCGCTGCTCTGGGAGAGCACGTCCCTGTGGACGCTCATCCTGACCGCGATGCCCTCTTTTCCGTAGAGCATCACCGTCAGGTCGCTCGTCTCCGGCCGCCCGAACCCGACGCAGACCTTGTGCTGCTGCGGCGGCGGCTCCTGCTGCCCGCCGGCCGGAGCCGGAGCCTCAGTTGTCGCTTGGCTGTGGTTGTGGTGCTGCTGGTCGTCCGTCACGGCGGGCGCCGGGTCGTCGGTCACCGACGGCGCGGTCTGGACCGAGGGGGCTCTGGACGGAGGGGCCGAGGGGGTCTTATGCGTCGGCGGCGCCGGCGCGTGCTTGGCGTGGGGATGGTGGTGCGGGTTCTTGAGGAGGCTCTTGTGCAGCGCGGCGGGGGACGGGCAGCACCAGAAGCCCTCCGGCGTGACGGCGATCGGCACGGTGCGGGGCCTCCCCGACGCCTCCGGCGGCGAGCCCCTCCTCCTCTGCTGCTGCCTGGATCCATCCATGTCCATCTCTCCGCTCCGAGATGGAGCCCGGATTCACATCCGACTCATCGGAATGTACCTGCGCCTGCGCGGGGCGATTGCAACTGCAAGATCAGAGACACTCTGAACAAGACGAAAGAATTCAATCGGCGCAAGATCACAAGACCCCGAAGGAATTGGGAACAACGCAACGTCGCAGGACGATCGAGACTGGTGGCAGGCCCATGATTTTATTGCATTAATTGCATCCACTCATCGAGTTCACCAAATCACCTGACCCCCCGTATCAAATCTATCCACAATCAATCAATCGATTGAACAGTCGAACAAGAACACCTGCGAATGCCTAGTAGTTCTCGATAGCGACATGCCGCCAGCTGCGTCAAGAACACAAACGGCGCGGGGCTGAAGGAAATGGGCGGATGGGGAGCAAGATTTCACCTGGAGGGTCAGGGATCGTCAATCCACGCTGCTGCTGCTGCAGTGCAAGGCTGAGAAGCTCCTCCGAAATGGCTGCGAAACGGACTCACCGGCCGCGTGGAGTACCACTCTGGGTACGAGTACATTCCAGGTAGGTAGGAGTATATACAAAGGTGAAAGGCCGCAGTACAAGCAGCAGTAGCAGTGGCGAAGCGCAGAAGCGAGCTGCCATGGCAGAGGAAGTACTCCTACTCCGTAGGATATTGTTGCCCACTGTTTGGGTAAACCCAGGCCGCGTTTAGTTCGGCCCCAGATTTGGCGCCGTCCAAATTCACGGCACTGTTGCGCACTGTAGGCGTTTTGTTTTTATTTGGTAATAATTGTCCAATTGTTGACTAATTAGGCTCAAAACGTTCGTCTCGCAAAGTACAACTAAACTGTGCAATTAGTTTTTGATTTCGTCAACATTTAATACTCCATACATGTACCACAAGTTTAATGTGACGAGAAATCTTCTTTTTACATAGTGGCAAATTCTGGAATTTGGATGAAATAACGTGGCCCCAGAAGCAGAAGCGAGCACGCAGGCGTGGTCTCTGTGCCGTCCTTCTGGACCCTGCACTGTTCCACACGCACAGTCTGCACTGCACTGCACTATTCCAGGCGAGCACGCACAGCTGAGCTTCTTCAGAAGACCGGTCGTACAGCATGGTTTACTATATTCCACTGTAAAAAAACGACGAGTGTGTATTTGACATTCGCATGTTTTGCCCCGTATTCACACCCAATTTTTTTTTGCACTGTTTTCTTTCCTCCTCGCCCACCTGGCAAGAACCTACCGCGCCCGCGACGGCCAGCTTCTTTCCCTTCCCTCGCTCTCTTCACGCCGTCGTTTTCTTCCCTAACTCCGACGAGCTCGGCCGCCGCCATCTTCTCCAACTCCGGCGAGACTCCCCCACCTCGACCTAGCTGGGCCGCCGCTACCACCGCCAGGGCCTCTAAACCGCCCAGCCACCATCCTCACCACCTGGCCTACCTACCTCCCCTTACCGGCTCTTTTCATACCCGATGGAGTTGGAGAAAAAAGAGGGGAAGAGGCTCGCCAGAACGCTAGCCGCCGCGGCGGAGCTAGGGAAAAAGACGGCAGGCGCAGGCGAGGAGAAGACGGCGGGTGAGGACACGAATTGGATACCCTCCACCACCTTCCCCGCACAAATCGGACGCACCAGGAATCGCGTGTGGAATCTATCAAAACACTTGGTTGTTATTTAGCATTCCCGAAAACGAAAAGTCGATGCACATTTGGCACGCGTGATTGAATGTTCACGAATTTTTTTTACCGAGGGGGCACGCGTGATTGAATGTTCACGAAATTTTTTTACCGAGACGTTGTGAATGAGAATCGTCATGCTCACCGACTAACCGTGGGGCCTGCTTGAAGCTTGGTGCGGCAGGACTGTCCAAGTCCTTTTTTTTTCTGGGGCTAAGAGGTGAGGCTGAACAATGGACGGAGACCGATGTCATGGAAGAAACGTCTTTCTTGAGACGCGTAGGTACATACAGAGAGGCCAAGAACGCCTTTCACCGGTCAGTTTCATCAGTATCAAAAGGACTACCGGAAGCAGCAAAAGGATGTGGGACGGACGACGGCATCATTTGCGTTGCAGCCGTTTGTATGTAAAGCAGGGCCGTGTTTGGTTGGCCGAATTCGACGTCCGATTCATGCGCTGTAGCATTCGTCTGTATTTGGTAATAATTGTCCAATCATTGATTAATTAGGCTTAAAACGTTCGTCTCATAAAGTACAACCTAACTGTACAATTAGTTTTTGATTTTGTCTATATTTAATACTCCATACATGTACCATAAGTTTGATGTGACTTCTTTTTTATAGTGACAAAGTTGAGAGTTAGGGAACATCTAAACAAGGCCCAGATATGGATAGAGGGAGCATGGGACCACTGGACATTGCTGCTGCTCAGTAGTCACATGAGGCTGCCGATTGCCATGGAGCTCTGCGAGACTGCGTGTGAGAGACCACAACAGGCAACAGGGAATAGTGATGAACTACCACCAGCTACCACTGTGCATGGAGGGCCATATCATTGAATCTTGAACCATCTTCCTTTTCCTTCCGAATCATTTGTCGCAGGAGATCTCTCCTCCCGAGCGGAACTGGAAGGAGATCGAACAGGAGATGGTTTGGGCAGACTATCGCTTTGATGGTCTCGATGTGTGACAATGTGGAAGATCGAGCTGCCTGACGGGCACGAGAGGCCAGCAACAGCCAGTTTGGTTGGGGTGCTCAACAAAGCCGAGCGTGCGTGGCCTTTGGCTTCTTTTCACACGCTTGTTCCTTTATAGTAGAACCAAAAAAAAGGAGACTGTTTTCTTTCTTTTCTGAAAAGGAAAATGGAAATTAAGGAAAGGGGGCATCACGGTGTCTCACTTGAATCGTGGCACAGTAGTTCAGCACAGAAAAAGTAGTGCATCAGTGTTTGCTTACAAGCTGGACTGTGCTAATCATGGCCGCGTTTATGATAAAATATGGGTCCGGAGGCTCCCACATGAGTGGGGTTTGGGAAAAGGATAAACTGAGACAAGCTTTTTCCCCGCAAAATCTATGGTGAGGTTGTTTCGAACCCACGACCTGATGACTCAGTGAGACAGCTCTCACCACTGCACCATGGCAGCTCTTCGTTTATGATAAAATATGGCTTTACAAAAATATTAAAAAGTATTGGGTACTCATAACATATTTGAGTGGATTGTACGCTGGTCGTGTGATCAAGTTAGTACAAGTGGGTTTCATCAAAAACAAAAACATTGTACTATTGGATTAAGTTGTGCATTCCAACATCAAATCCATTGTCGTCTAGTCCGGTTAGGATACCTGGCTTTCACCCAGGCGACCCGGGTTCAAATCCCGGCAATGGAATCTTTCTTTTTTCGCGTTCAGTATACTTCGTTTCATATATGTTCACACCACACCACTTTTTTTTTCTTGTCACTGTTCATCTACATGTTACTCAAGTTTACTTTTTTTTATCTGCAAGGACACAATGGATGATTTCAATGCACAGTTACTGCAAACAATGTAGTGGAGATCACCATTGCAGCTTAATTCGCCAATTGAAAGTTACTTCGTTTCAGATATGTTCACACCACGTTTTTTTTTTTCTTGTCATGTCACTGTCATCTACATTTTTACTCAAGTTCACTTCTTTTTCCTGCAAGGACGCACTTGATTATTTTAATGTACAGTTACTGCAGACAACATAGTGGAGATCACCATTGCAGTTTAATTCGCCAATTGGAAATTTGGGACACCAGGTACATGAAAGATTTACTTTTCTCGTCAGGACAAGCTTCACCAAAACTGGAAGTCTGAACAAGATTTTGCTTCAGTCAGTGTAGGAGAACAGAAAACAACTAAAAAGGAGTGCCTAGTAAACACGAGCAAGGATTTCATCTCGCAGTATGCTGAATTACAGGGTTATACGACAGTTTCATCTCAAAGCATGCTGAAATTAAACAGTAAGAGTTTATGGACTTATTCTCTTCTTCACTCTAGCAGCTGATCTAACTCATCAAAGTCATCGTCCTCGTGATTCTGTACTCCTGATTCATCATTGTCAACCACCATGAGCTGATTGCCGCGGGATCCATCCTCGTGATATTGTACTCCTGATTCATCATTGTCAATCACCATGAGCCGATTGCCAGGGGATAATCCTGTTCTCTCGTAGAACCCCTCCTTCTGGGCATCCCATTCTTTGACGACTTCACCTATCTTGTCACCCAACAGCTTGTCACTCTGAAGGAGGTGCTTAGCATCTTCAACTTCCACAATTTGGCTTGCCTCTGTCCAGGTGATAGGGGCAAACAAATAACACAGTTGGGTTAGAAACAGTGTTTTTGTTAGTCCAGAGTTTTACACAAAGGAGAAGAAAATGCACAAATCAAACAGTGACAATTGACAAGCACCTGCAAGGGCCAATTCCTTTGCTTCTGCATACTCCTTCGACAGTTTCTTGATGCTATCAAGCTCAAACTCGGCACCCTAGAGGAAGAAGAATAAATCAGTAACAGAAGTGTACCTGCATGATGTTTGTACTATAAATCAAAGAAAAGATTGGTAGGCTGCCTTTTGTTTTTGTGATGATATATTTCCAACCCAACACAGCATAATAATTCATTAATAAGATCTTATGGAAAGTAAGAGGGAAAATTAGAGGGAGCGCAGGTCCATTTTACGGAGCTTGTATCAAAACACAAAACTAGAAGGATCACGTTCTCGCATGAATGTGCAAACCACGGAACCGTGTCCCCGCCATGCCACCATGATAGGAGTAGAACTAAAATAAAAGCAAGCATTGAACTTACCAAGTCCATGTGCATATAACTTTCTGCTTGGGTATTTGCAAATAACCTGCAAACATAAAAGTTACATGGAAAATATCAGCAGGCAATAGATTTAGCCTTGTTTTTTTCGTTGACCAAATTATAGCCATGTTTGCACAGGAAGAAACATGAGTAATAACCTGCACTTTGGAACAACATGCAAGACCGAAGCAAGGCGAAGGAACTTACAGCGAATATTTGTG